GAATATCACATGGACCGACAAAACCGCATCTGAGGGAAGACGCGATGGTCCAATATCACTACATTTGCATTTGCGCGTTACGTTCGGTTACAAGTGTAACACATTAATTCAAAACATCGCGAGCAATCGACCAAAATTGGCTTCGTGATCGACCTGTCGATCGCGATCGACTTGTTGGCCACCCCTGGTCTAAATCATTTGCCTGGATATGGTGATATCTGATGCTGATGAGAGGTCTCTAAGCAGTTTACTTGTTGCTTTGGCAGGGTGACATTGGGCATTTATGACTATGTACTAGTTCTGATGTGTAGTTGTGACATGTGGGTAACCTTTACTGTTTGTCTTGCAAGATAAAGGTTGCAACATCTTGGCCATGTTGAAACCTTTGCCAAAGACTACAGATAAAGCTTGGTGGAACATTCAGCTTCTGTGACACTTGTCTCTGAATTTGGCCAGCCTCTAATCTTCTAATAATCCTGCCATGCATAATGCCATCAATGTCTTCTTTAGGCTGTAATTACTGCCTACAAATTATCTTTTGTAATTACAAGGCAATAACAACATTTGCACATATACACAGTAATGATCTCTTAAGAAATCAAACACCTAAATTGACATAAAAAGCTTTTATGCCAAATTCCTTTATCAGTAAATTTGCATACATGTACTGTACAACATTCACTCCCTTCAGAAGTTGCTATATAGCATTTCTACTTGGTTTTGTTTATTTACAGCAGTGGAAAATTTGTGTACTTGTAAATTATGGACATGAGTGTACATAAAATATATAGAATCTATAAAAATTCAGAATTTACAGATAATCATTTTGTTTGAGGTAAGGTAGAATCCATAATCTTAATTTTTATTTTTGTAATTTTATATAATGCTATCATTAATTTATTTATTTTTGAAACTGTTTTGTTTGTTTTATTTATTGTATATGCAATCATAAAATATGAATCAATACAATTTGATCTTATAACTGAATGGGATTCAAATGGACTGATCATTTTATAATTTTATTTTTATAAAATCTTCAATAGAAAGAATATTAAATTAGTAAATTTAAAAAAAGACAACAGGTTGTCTTTAAAGAATTTATAATTTTTATTCAATTGAGTATTTTAAACAGCAAAATTTTTTCAACTTACTCACCCAAATCAGAAAATCCATCAGTGAAATGTTAAATTTAAGAAATATTTGACGATGATTATTGAAAGTAATTGAAAATATTAGTCTTCAGGTTTACATTAATTAACAACATAGAACAATGCATGCATGGAATAATCTTCACAAATTCAAATTGTAAAATTTATTTCATGCATTGTTCTATATCGTTAATTAATGTAAATGTAAAGATGATTGCTGAAAGTGATTGAAAACATTTGTTTTTTATCAAGCATTTCTTAAATTTAATGTTTTACTTATATAAATATTCACGATATACAAGCAACAATAAAAGTGTTCACATCTTGTCCTATCTCACAACCTCAGGAAGAAAAGTCTTTATGGGCAGAGTCATCTGTTTCTTTGAGGCTTCCTGCTCATCTGCCTTGTTATGTAAAAACATTAATGCAGCTTCTATACCTAAACTTTGAATATTTATATATGGCCATTTTAATTATTTTTGTATTAATTGAAATATTTTTTAATGTTTTACTGCTGGATTTTTCAGGTTTGGTGAATGAACTGATAAGCATGTCTAGTTATTATAGATTATTGTAAATTTTTTAAGTTAAATTTCTGTAAAATGGCATTTTCTCACTCTAAAAGTAATTACAGGTAACCCTCGTATAACATGGTAGTTACGTTCCAAAAAATTTCTGTGTTATACGAAACAAAGAACTAGTACGAAAAGGAGGGTTAGGTTCCAAAAATTAAAAAAACATGCTAGTATATTTTCATAATTAAGATAAATATCTTCATTAAAATTTTTTTAAGAGATACATATTAATATAAATTAAACAATGTTTTCTTCTTCATCACTAAAAACACTATTAATTAACCGAGAGTGTTTTCTTTTTGGCAAGTTATCCTTATCCTCTGAGCATTTTTCTGCATTATCTTCAGATCCATGCTTTACCTTTTGCAAAATGTATGTAATTTTAGATTGCTTGCTTCTAGTTAAAAGGTCTTTATAAATTTCCTTATATGGTGCTAAGCACTTATGAAGAATAAAGCAAGTATGGAATAAGGGAAAAACATTCGGCAACATCAGAAGCAGAAGCGTCGCGATCTGGCAACATTGAAACAAGTTTCGAGAAGGACCACGTGTATCGACAGAAGGCGAGAAGAGAAAATTTACATACTTAAGTACTAATAGTTCACGAAAATAATAATTTTTGTGAACTATTATTACTTAAGTATGTAAAAATTTATTACATTTCCTGTTGTACGAGGCTTTTACCCAATTCTCGAACCGTATCAGAGTAAATCCGTGCTATAAAAGTACCATGTTATACGGGGAATGGTGCCAATTCTCGAACCGTGTTAGAGTGAATCCGTGCTATAGAAGTGCCGTGTTATATGGGGTTACCTGTATAGATAGATTCTTTCAAATGTCTTTTAAATTCTTTAGTCACTTCAAACATTCAAATGTAGATAGTTTAACTCATTATTTCTTAACAACAGTTTAAATGTATAATAATGTTTAAATATTAACATTATTATAAACTATTACATGAAAATGCCATTTTACAGAAATTAAACTTAAAATGTGTTTGATTCTGAATACGAATTTACTGCCAAAAAGTTCTCTTTGGATAGTAAACTATCTTTTCTTAATAAAATTATCACATTTTTTGACAATGATTTTACTAAGAAATAGTAGTTTAAATCATCCATATATGAATGCTTAACATTTTAAATAATGAAATTTTTAAAATGTTTAGCAAGATAGTCAGTTTCAGAGTGAAAAAAATTTTTATATTTAAAATCTCTTCATTTTTAGAAACTAACTACTTTAACTGAATAAAAATTGTGGATACCTTGAAGGCATATTGTAGTTTTAAGATTTAAGAGGACATATGAGTGGAATCATAATTAAAAAATTAGCAATGAGTTGTGTAACTTCCTTCCTGATATGAGATTAATTATTATAAAATGGTAAAAAGCTTTATTTTGAAAGTAGAGATGAGTTTTATAAAAAATTGTGAATGCTAATATTAAATATATTAAACAAAATAGTTGCCAACATACCCACATTCACACAGGGACAGAAATTTCTTTTTACTTTTTTGAGTTCAGGAGTCTCAAAATGTGGAGGGTCAAATTTGACATTATAACATTATACATATACATATATACTGTATATAACAAGCCAGACTAATAACAAAATAAACTCAGCATTGGATTTAAATTCTGGTTTAAAAATAATCATATTAGTAAATCACCGTGTTTATGCATTAATTTATCAATTTTTAAATTCAATATGAAATAAATATAATTTTTATCTTAAGTTTATACATATATATGATTTGATCAAGTGTAAAATGTAAATGAATGTTTTAGAACTTTATTCATGAATTACTTTAATCATAATTTTAAATATTATTTATAGTTCATATACCAGATTGTTGTTATAAAGTAATTAGATATTTTCATATTTGATAATATTTAATTATATTAAAAAAATATTGAAAAAAGAAGTCTTAAAACATTTACTTTATTGAATAATGAAAAGAAAACTTTATAGAATGAAAGTTTCTGTTGTGACAATAACAATTAATATCTATTAACTGCTTTCTAATATTAAAAGCATTTTTATCAAAAATTAAAGTTTCATTAATGTATATTTAATGTTTAAATAATTTACTATTTTGTAAACATTTACGTTTTCCTATTTCTCAAATTAACCTGAATTTTTCACTATTTTATGGTAACTATATAATTATTTTTTATGTCTTATCTGATAAATAAAATGTATAAAATTAAAATTTTGAAAATAAAAAGTCATACAAATTATATGAATAAAATATTTCAATGGATTGAATTATATATAATTATACGTTGCATTTTTTTTCAGACATTACCTGAATGTATTTTATTCCAAAGAACATAATTTATCATTCAATTTAAAGAAGAATTTCAAGATTTTTGTTTTAATCTAGAATTTTATTAAGAATATATTTGTTTATTTTTGTTTTTAATTTGTTAAGAATTGTTATTCAAGAGAATTAAACTCTCTCTGGCACATTTTATTCTACTTTAATTTTCTTTTAATAAGTTTTTAATATTTGTGCCATAAGAAAATCTTGTTTAGATTTTAAACTTGGATTTTAGTTTGTTGCATTTACTTATGTTATAATTCTTATATTTTTGTGAATTTGTTTTTGTAACTTTTCAAAAACATTTTTTGTATTTCATTTTTTGAAATAAATTTCACACTGTCATGCTAAATAATAGTATTTCAAATGATTTTTGTATATATATTTTATTTTTTACATAATTTAAATATTTTTATTAATTTATTTTTTAATAATAAAAAGACTATAAAGAATATGTAAATATTTACTAAATCAAAATTTTTGTAGTTTATAGTAATTTTAAAAATATAATATCACGTAAAACTTAAAAAGTAATATTTATGATTTTTCTTTATTTCAAAAATTTTTTATTTGTGTCTTAAAACGAATGTATTTTTATCAGTAAGTAATAAAATTTTTAAATATGTTAATTAAAATGGCATGAATATAAAAAAAATGTGGAAAAAAGGAAAAAGGCACCTCAAAAGTTTAGCCATTGAAAATCAGTTCTTGCTGTTCTTGGGGGGAATATTCTTGAAATTCTTGCAAGTAAAGATGGCGATAATTTTTAGTTATGTTTTATTTATTTTTTTCTATAATAATAATAATAATAATGATGAGTTATGTTTTATTTATTTTTTTCTCAAATTCCAATCAATTCAATACATACTGTATATGAATACATTTATATGTAATTTATAATTTTTAGTATATTTTTCTGGTTTTCTATTACACTATAAAATTCTTTGTCAATTGGGATTCTATTTCAAATTGTTCATTCAAAAAAAAATTCGGATATAAAACGTATAGCATTTCTGATCTCGTCCCTCTTCATAAGTTTCCGAATAAATTAGTTTGGAAATCGATACATATTGATCAAACAAACGGAGAACGCTTACCAATACAAAAGCTCGATTTATCATACGTCAAATTCTATTTTCGACCAATGGCAATCGAGAAACAGAACTGTAAAGAACGGCAAATTCTGACCTTTACCAAAGGATTCGTGTACTACGCATGTGCGATAGTATCCAAGAAGAGGATCGATAAACAGCAGCACCAACATCAGGTACACTTAGTGATTGTATAAACGTAGTGTGTACCGTTAATAGTGTGTGTAGTCTGCTGAGAATGTTTACCAATTTGAAATTATCCGGTGGTGTGTTGAAGGTGAAGTTGCATAAATCCATCCTTAGGTGAGTTGAGGTAATATATCCTCTTGTAGTACAGAGTACGTCTTTGATAATAGCACGTCTCTTCGAAGTTTTCCCCTTTTCGCTAATGTTTTAAACTAGAAATTGAAAAATTATCGATTTTTAGATTTATCTAATTTTCAATAAAATCAGTTTTTTCTTAATCATATCGATTTTTGTTTTTTATATAATCGAAGGTACGGATTATCTGACTTCATTTTTTATTGCAATATATTTACCAAACAGTAATGATTGATGAATAAGAAATGATTATAAGTGAAGAGTTTTTTTTTTGATATTTTCCAGTTAGCTGCTTTATGAACGGTTTATGACAGAGGTCGGCATAATACTCGCAATCGATAAAACTTATGCTGCTTTTATGAATTTGTTTATGTTTTGGCGTCACTTGTCCATTTTTTTTAATAAATTCGAATAAGTAGAAATTATCAGTGATGTTTCTATGAAAAAATTTTCATATATATATACACAAACTCATAATCTACCAGCCACGGTTTTTTCTAAGCAAAGAAACAGTTAAAATTTGTGTTTCTTTTGCTGAAATGTATCAATACATATACTTTTTCAGATGTAATATAACTGTAACGAAATGTATTACTGCAATTATAGATTTAAATGGTATTTGCATTTGTTTACTTTCTGAACTAGGTGATCGATATGTTCAATCGAATAATTTAGTGTAGATTAATAAGATATTTTGTATACTAAAATTCTCAATATAACTTGTATAACAATTTATTGTTATGTGATCTTTAATTATTGGTGGTACTTTATCTATTCTTTTTTAAAATCCTTCTATTGGATGATTATTGAAATTTTAAATCTATAATTAATGAAGAGGAGCTCCCATATTCAAAATTAGAGTGGTGGTGATCTCATTGCTTCTTTACTCAGAAAACAAATTTATTTTTTATTTACATTATTAATTAATAGCTTTATTGTAAATACAGATTTCAAGTGAATCGTAAATTTAAGTTTATTTTGATATGTCTCTTTCCATGTTAATATATATTAATCTTTAAAAATAAATTTAGATAAATAAAGATATATCAAAGTTTTTTTTTATTAGGAAATACATTTATATGATATTAAAAGATCATTTAAAAAGTTCTTAATATTAGCCAAGAATACATTGCAACATTTGCGAATTACAATTCACTCATTGGGAAACAGGCTACGAGGTAAATCTTTTAAATTTAAAACATGAATTTAAGCTTTTAACTGTTACTCTACGATGAATACACGTATTAAGAATACCAGCTTTAAAATTTATTTCGTTCGTGAATAACAGAAGAAAAGCTTAGATTTCTATCACTGACCTATTTTCCAATCGATCGATGATTTGAAAATAATTTTGTTTATAACAATTCTTTAATTTTTAAATATTAAAATATCATTTTGTGAGGAACTTGTGACGGTTCACTTTTTAAAAGAATTTATTACAAATTAATAATCAGGTAGAAAAAATTGAACCCTTAATTTTTTGCATATTGTTTTCATTAAAAAAATTATTATGTTTGTTTAAAATTATATTTCCATGTGTATAACACAAGAATATGAAATAATAATAATAACTTTTATCAGTTTTCCAAACAAATAATAATGGTGTTCAAAGTTTTAACTATTGTCCTTAACTGCATAATTCGTAAATAAATCATATAATTTTATTTTCCGCCATGTATATTCTACCTTTAAAATAACTTATTGGAATAGACATATAATACTAACTTATTGGAAAATATATTTTTTCCAAATACGTGTTTTGAAGAACGGATTTTTCATTTCAAAAAAATTTTTGCTCAAATTGTATTAAATTATTTTGCGTTTTAAAACATTCATAATTAATAATCACTCTAAGTAAAATATATACTTAATATGATGATAAAATTCAACGTGATCGTTGTTTTCAACAAATCACGGAGACTTTCGTGTTGAAATGTTTACTACACAAAAATAAAAAAAAGTACTTATTTACGGCAAGATATAAATTTATAATTTTGCTTGTCGTTAAAACTATATAACAACAGTTTAAAGTTATAATTCGAAATTAGAATCCAATTTTTTTTTCTGTATAGCGTAATAATTTAAGAAATATGCGATATTTTCCATCCTAAATCTTGAATAGGTAGTTATTATAATAGAAACTTTTATTTCATGTTAAATATTTAAAGGAGAAAACACATACAAGAAATTGGAGACGACAAATTTGGGATAATTATAATTAAAATTTTTGTTACATCTTTATCATAATTATAATTTCAGAAACATGATCTTTTTTATCATGATCATTAAAGAGATTTTGAATTTAATTTTAATCAAAACTTTTGATTAAAAATTAATTTCAGTAATAAGAGTTAAAATATTTTATTTTACTTTTTTCTGTCCGAGGAACCAGAGTAAGTTTAAACTTAAAATTCTGTCATTTTCATTATATTCAAATTCTCAATCGCACATATCTCACTAAACCCAAATTGTACCTCAAAAGGATTTAACGCGGAAACAAAAAAAGGAAATGGGAAATTTTATCTACTGTTGGAATGTACTTTTTTGTATTATATCAAGTCAAAGTTTGACAGTGTGATTTATAAAGCTTTGGCTATAGACTACATTTAATTGCTCTTTGGTAAAGTATTTTTTTTTCTTTTTGTTTTCATCGAAGAATTGCTTTGTGTTCCATGTTTTTTTTTTCTTTTCCCCCTTTCCCTTAAAGCACGACATAGATGAATATTTTGTTTGAACAGCAACAAATGAAAAATTAAAGTCTGAAATGAAACTTTAAATTATTTTTTCAGGATTTATTTATACGAACAGGTAAGAATAAAAATCTTAAGTTATTTATACTCCAGTTTTGACGATTTTATTGTTGTTATAACTATAGAAACAAATATCTAAATTGTTCAGAATAAATATAAACTTTTAGATAGAGAAAGGTAAATATGTTTTTATGATTTAAAGTTTCAACTTCTATGAAGATAATTTAGAATTATATATAAAGAAAGGAAGGAAAGTAGAGAACACATAAGGATAATAATAACTTATATATATATACATAATTTAATAAATTCTCTTGACGCGAATTAACTACAAGGTAAGTGAATGTAGAGTAAACAGGTGTTATCTCTTTTATTTAATAAAATTTATGAATACATCTTGTAAATGTGTCACCGGTTGAGCTGTTAACGTAGGACTGAAACTATAAAAATTATCTCAAAATTTATACATTGATTGTTTTAATGTGAAATATGCACAAAAAAACATCATTTTTCAAAATGATAGAAGTTTGAGGTTTTAGTTTACGTAAAATAAAACCACGAAGAACAAATTCCTTATCGATAAAGTTACTATGCAGATCAAGCCTTATTTAGAATTAAAAAGTAAGTTTTAGAGATAATATCGATCTGTATGTATTAAAAAACAAATTTTTGTATTAATTCAATATAAATATATAAAATTGGTATAGGATAATTAACTGTTATTACTTAATTTAGTATTTTTCTATTTTTTAAATTCGTTTTGTTTATACAGTATATGGCATATTTTTTTTATCTGGACGAAAGCCAACACAGATTTTTTAAGTACGAATATGTAACGTGCTATTATATAGTTAGCAACTTTAAATATTTATTAATATCAGTATAGTGCTTTACGTGGTGAATTTTTAAAAAAGTATTTATCCTAGTTAATAGAATACCTGTTGAAAAAGCCATTAGGTCACTATGTTATAGTTAACGAATTGAATTATTTCAAAATATTTCCAAGTAAATGTTTAATCGGTTTTAACACGTTTCGTGCTTATTAATCTGATTAAAAATTAAGTAAATTATGTTTAAACCGAAACAATTTAATATAATTAAGAACTAATTGATATTTAATTATTATCGGATCATAATATTCTATTCAAAGCTAAGAGTTCTCTGTGATCTTTTTACAACATATTACTTAAAGGACAGTTTGGCTAAATTTTAAATTTGAATTATTTTTAATCAAGCAAATATGTATTCAAAAATTATATAAATGTAATATTTTTTAAATAATAATAATAACTTTTATCAGTTTTCCAAACAAATAATAATGGTGTTCAAAGTTTTAACTATTGTCCTTAACTGCATAATTCGTAAATAAATCATATAATTTTATTTTCCGCCATGTATATTCTACCTTTAAAATAACTTATTGGAATAGACATATAATACTAACTTATTGGAAAATATATTTTTTCCAAATACGTGTTTTGAAGAACGGATTTTTCATTTCAAAAAAATTTTTGCTCAAATTGTATTAAATTATTTTGCGTTTTAAAACATTCATAATTAATAATCACTCTAAGTAAAATATATACTTAATATGATGATAAAATTCAACGTGATCGTTGTTTTCAACAAATCACGGAGACTTTCGTGTTGAAATGTTTACTACACAAAAATAAAAAAAAGTACTTATTTACGGCAAGATATAAATTTATAATTTTGCTTGTCGTTAAAACTATATAACAACAGTTTAAAGTTATAATTCGAAATTAGAATCCAATTTTTTTTTCTGTATAGCGTAATAATTTAAGAAATATGCGATATTTTCCATCCTAAATCTTGAATAGGTAGTTATTATAATAGAAACTTTTATTTCATGTTAAATATTTAAAGGAGAAAACACATACAAGAAATTGGAGACGACAAATTTGGGATAATTATAATTAAAATTTTTGTTACATCTTTATCCAGGTTGTCTTTAAAGAATTTATAATTTTTATTCAATTGAGTATTTTAAACAGCAAAATTTTTTCAACTTACTCACCCAAATCAGAAAATCCATCAGTGAAATGTTAAATTTAAGAAATATTTGACGATGATTATTGAAAGTAATTGAAAATATTAGTCTTCAGGTTTACATTAATTAACAACATAGAACAATGCATGCATGGAATAATCTTCACAAATTCAAATTGTAAAATTTATTTCATGCATTGTTCTATATCGTTAATTAATGTA